CTCTCTCTCTCTCTCTCTCTCTCTCTCTCTCTCTCTCTCTCTCTCTCTCTCTCTCTCTCTCTCTCTCTCTCTCTCTTCTCTCTCTCTCTCTCTCTCTCTCTCTCTCTCTCTCTCTCTCTCTCTCTCTCTCTCTCCTCCTCCCTCCCTCTCTCCTCCTCTCCTCCTCTCCTCTCTCTCTCTCTCTCTCCCTCCCTCCTCATCTCCCCTCTTTCCTTCCTCTGTCTCTCCTCCCCTCTCTTTCTTCCCTTTTCTCTCTTTTCTAGCAAAATACACAATAGGAATTCTTTATTGGTCTCTTTCTTTATGCGAGGCAACGGAATTCTAAATGAAAACTGAATTCTTCAAATTTCGAATTCTCCTTCCTTAATTAATTTGTTAGAAACGAACAATTTAAGCTACCTTTGGCTAAGAAAATTCGTAACATACCAAGAACAAACTTTTAATCCGTTTTCATTTTCTTAGTGTATGAAATTCTGTAAACGTCAATATTATCATCATTATATCGCAATGCAAAATTCACGAATTCATACATGAAATTAATTAATTTGACAACCGATATGCGCTCTCGGCTACCGATCAATCATTGCGACCGACAAAATTAAGTTAAATTAGGGATTTAGAGATATGTTGAATTGGGCGATGTACAAATCAAAAACGTTCGTTTGCGCGTTCTAGGTATTCGCACCAAATATTCTGCATTGCGTGAAACCTGGTCAGGCGAGGTCGGAAGTCTCGACAGAAAGGGCCGAGGAGAGGATAGATGTAATAAACGTGGTACGAACACTTCTAGAACACACAGCGACATTGTTTACGGTACCAGCGGCACTATTGGACGAAGTATACCAACATATGATGGATACCCATCCAGCAGAGTTGGATATCGCTCTATCTCGTCGCGTCGAAGAGTGAGTTTTATGTTTATTTCGATTTTCATTATTTTTTTAATAATTACGAATAATAATCACAATAATCATTAAATCACTATATCGAAATATTTCGGTTGTTTTATATATTATAGTTGAATAATATGAATTATAGTTAGATAATATTGGATAATATTTCAAAAACTTTTATTGGATATTTCAAAAATTATCAAGATTGTTTCTTAATCGTCATATATAAATTACTGTAAATCTGAATTTAAAAATTTTATAGCGATATTTGGTAGTAGTTGACCATCAATCGTACGTATTTCATAAAATATTTTACAGATATTTATCTATTGTTGACAAAAATGTTTTTTGAATTGTGAATTTTTATTATTAAAATTTCATTTTATCAAACAGAAAATTTATTATCTCGTTCATAAATAGCGATGTTCAATGTCAGTGCTATGAAAGATATTGTGTGATTTTTCAAACGTTTACGTTAATTACGTTCTTACGAATCATAATTTAATGACATATAGATAAAAAAATTGAAACAAAATTCTGTACGTGCTTTTGCAGACAATGCGGGGATGAAGTGGACCCCTGTAGCGAAGCGGAGACATTCTCGGTGGAAGAGACATTGACTATGTCGGCGACTACGACAAGAAAGGTATTGTGAGATCATGCATTTTTTATCTGTTTACCTGAACAACTAAATCTAATATTTGAGATTTAGACCATTAAAAAAACGAGATACCTTTAAAATAATAGATAAGCATCACTAAATATTCTTTTGAGAAACAAGTCAAGAAGTACGAAAAAGTATAACTAAAAAATTCAGAACAAGAATGAATTTAACTTTAAGAGTTTGCAATTCTCCACTTTCTTTTTCTTGCAAAGAATCATTTTAATTAAATTTTCAAGTAATTTTAAAGCTGCATTTAAACTATTCACGCTAGAAATGATTTAGTTTACGTATCAAAGTACATTTGGAATTTTTTTTTTAGATATTGCTTAAAGTTTAATAAAAATGCATATATAACCATTTTAATAGTAAAAGTACAGTTACATTCAATTATATAGCGTCTTTAAAGATATTTTAAATTATAAAAATTACTTCATAAGTATGGAATATGAAGAAAAAAAGTTTTAAACATCTAAAAAATTAAATATAAATATTATAAAATCACTCGCAATTATATAACTCCTGTTGCATTTAACAAATATCAGCATAACTAAAATAATTATAATAATTATAATAAAATCTTTGGCAATATTCGTCATCATTAAGTCATCACTGTTTAATATGTTGTCTTGTTTTTCAGGAAAAAATTATCTTGAGTTTCTTTATTTCAGATGTGGACGAGAGAACAATGTTTGCATCAGACCGCGGGTGTTGGTGGTGATATTGGACCCAAGCATCGACGGCCAAAGAGACCAGGAAGCAGAAGGAAAGAAGAGGGCAGGAGCAACAGCGTCGATAGCGGATCGAGCGAGGATCCGTCTGATCCTCGACGAAGATCCTCACCGATAGTAATTACCGCCAGTCTTACCATACCTATGTCCGACGCGTTCACCTTGAACCTCGACGATCCGGACATTCCTTACATCGAGGAAGTACCAAAGCAGCCAAGTGCTCCTCCGAGACGTCAAAGGCAGAGGTCCATTTCCGGCTGCAGCGAAGGTTCATATAATTTCATATAATTTGAATGTTATTGCGAAAGTATTCTTAAAACAAAGAGCGATATAAATCATAATAATTTTTAATAAAATTGAAATAATTTATATATAATGTTAATCCGTGTTATTTCAACAATCCATTAAAATATACAAACGGTAAATATGATGTAACTAAGTGAGTGTAGTAGCCATTAAGAAAAAGCGTACAATCTTTCTCTTACCATAAATTTTATATGAATTGGTGAATAAAAAAGCATAAAAGCCAAGCAAGATGTAAATATTAAATGATGTTCATAATTATAACTATCAATAATACAATACACAAACATTTCTTTATATTCATCATCAGTATGTTATCGTTAAATCATCAAAAATCAAAATCGTACTAAAATATTCATTCTGTCTATTTCCTTATACAAAAGTCCCATTTAATATTGGCCAATATAATACTGGAAATTACTTATTTCAATTATTAAAAATATTGGATAGTGCTTTCAATACTCAAAATAAGTAATTGATCACTATTTTCCAATATATTATATTATATTATATTATATTATATTATATTAATATATTAAATTTCTATGAGGAATAAGTAAATAAATTATTAAAAGAAGATTTATATAAATATCTCACAATCAACATTTTTTTCATTTTTTTAAAAACAAAATCTTTTTTCTATTCGATTAATGATAGTGTTAATAAAGTTGTCCGAATTATTTAACGCTCTTAGAAAAATTCTATGTAAGATTCCTGACTACTCAGCGTTGAAACTAAAAACTCCGCATTAACGATAGCGATACAGCGTCATCGTAATGTAAATTAGAAGCTTATTCATCCTTGTTTTGTTTATCTTATCCTTGTCTTCGTTCATCTTTACATAAGTAACGTGCAGACAACGAAATTTTTTATTGCATCTAGTTTCGTTATTATATGCTTAATCGTGCAGATGTGACTTGTCTTGTACTTACCAAATTTATAAAAATAGACGATAGCTAAAGTTAAGTTTACTTTTGAATTTAGAAGTAAATATTTTTCACTCCTTTCAACAGGTTATCAAACCTATGTGTCTTTGTATCTGAATAGCTTTATTTCATGTGCCTCTTATTGTTATTTATTGACTATCAGGAGGAGAAAAAAATAGCCGTCCATTTCCACAAGTGTCTTAAAGTCATTTCAAGTATCAAATATCTTTATCTCTTTATTTGCAAATTAATGTAATAAATTTTGTAATAAATTTTACTATCATTTTTCACTTGTGATGTCACGATTCTAATATGAGCGCAACTAGTCAGAAACTTTAATACTGGCCAATATAATACTGAAAATTATTTATTTTAAATATTAATAATATTGAATAATAGTGCTTTTAATATTCAAAAATATGTAGTTAATCACTACTTTTCAATATTACATTTTTATAAGAGTGATTTACAATTTTAATTATTAACATACTTCGATTAACTATTAACTATTAACTATTAACATCTAACTTGGACTGTTTCTGAATAATTCCGTGATGTCTCCCACAGAAATCATAACGTCTGCCATTGTATCAAAGAGAAATGTTTCCTTCGACTTTTAACAAATGTTTATGAGATATATATATTTCCAGCGGAAATTTCTATACAAATCTCTTTTTAACAATTAACGCTTTATAATAAATATTTTATATTTGATTTTAAACTAATAAACTAAGCACTTATTATTTTCATAAATTTTATTAAATCCATAAAGAATTCATTAGAAAAGAAATAAATATACAAAGATACTAAGGAAAGAAGAAAAATAAGAAAAAATTGTCAAAATCAAATCTTGCGAACTGGAAAATCAAATAAACGAACTTTAACTAAAATATATATGTATGTGCATCTTCATGTTTATTTTTTTATTCATTTCATGTGCATAATTATAATATTCTGTTTCAACCTCTATCATCCATATCTATCCATATCTCTATTTTCAGGAGGAAGACACGGAAGTGACAGTGCCGTAGGGTCTTCCGCAACCTTATCGGGCGATCAAGCGTTAAGTTCACCGCCTTCATGGGCGTCATCGCCTCCGGCGAGCCCTGATAGTGCGGTCACTGCCGTTTCATATATTCCAGATCAGCAGGCAGTTCTCCAGAGAGTCTCATTCACGACCTCGAGCGAGGTAAGGCAGGTGAACAGGTCGGCGGCTGGCCAGCAGGAAACAAGTAGGAGTACAGCGGTGCCATATACACCAAGCATCACCAGTATCGGTGGTGCGGTTTTGAGGTGAGTATCCTGTCCTGTTGCCCTATGTTACCTCTCGCTGCGGTTAGTTCCTTCCCTCCTCTTCTTTGCGTTCCTCGAAATTCTTCGACAGTCTTTGCGACAGTCTTTGAAAGATTTTGAAGAATGGTGCGTTCAATTTGGTACATTCAATTGTTGCGATAAATTCTTTATTAAGATTCATCATGAATAAAATAAAATATCCTTTCTCTCTATGTACCCGTCGACTGTGTTTTATTACAAAACTTTTATTCTACTGCATAAATATTTTTATAAACAAATACTTTGTGTATACTTTTATGAATATAGGAAAAATTTTAAATTTGTGATTTTTTTGCAAGATAATGCTTTAAATCATAAATAGATAAAAATTTGATTATTTTAATACTTGATGAATCGCCTCTCATCTTACTCGCGGTCAATATTATTAAACAAATAATTGTGTAACATCAGCGGGAGAACAAGATAGTTTGAAGTTTTGATTTAAAGTTTTGCATTAAAAACAACGTATCATCCAACGAATATCAATTCATGAAAATTGTACGAATATTTTATACAAACTAACGCGAACGTATGCTCGCGTGATTCAGATCCAAAACTGCCGATATTGAGAGAATGCTACAGATCTCGCGGCCAGATGTCGATTCCGCGGTTCTGCAAACGAGCAAGAACTCGACGGCGACCTCCAACGAGAATAAAAAGTACACCAAGAGGCGATACACGGATTCGAGGCATCAAACGCGTCATATACCCGATGCCGACACTCTCGCTGGCAAGACGTCACTCGGCGTGACATCTACGTCGGCGATATCGTCTTCCTCCTCCGCCTCCTCGATAATGTCGACGCAGAAGCAACGCGTGCCAGCGCAATCGGTGTGGAAAAGGCGAGAATTGATCTCTAGTGCTCCAAAGGATAGGGAGGGATACTTTTAAATTAAATGCGATTAATATTGAATCGAGATTCGAGATTAATTACCGAGTACCTCAACGAGGATTTAAGGTGTTTAGATAGTTCAAGAGTGTAAATTATTATTTTTATAATAACAATAAACATATTTTCTTCAAACTTAATTCGAATTCTTAATTTAATTATACAATTTATTTGTTACAATTTATTTAAAAATACAAATACTAAAAATTTTATTTTTTTATTTAATCATTTTTTTCATATATATATAAATATTTGATATGTGAGAT